AAATATATATTTTAATTTATATTGAAAAAGATGTTAATAGTATATGTGATGAAGACATGACTTAATGATATTTATCAAACATCACATATTTAAGTTAATATATTTAACGAGATTAGAGTTTGGGTTAATATTATATATAATTTAAAAGTTTAAGGTATTAATAATTTATTTTATTTCTTTACATACGAATTTGTACATATTCCCTAACTTCATATATTAAATATGTAATTAATCCATTGTTAACTATGAATATGTTTGCCGATAATTTGGTTGCTATGCTCATAAATTTCAAGTAAAAAATAATACTTGAAAAATTAGAGACAAATAATAATTTTATTTATCCACTTGTAAAATACAACCTTTAAAAATTCTTAAAGCAAAAATAAAAAAATTTCTAATTCTTTTTTCCACAAAAAATCCATTTCAAGGCTTTGGAAGACTTGGCCTTGAATTTAATAAATTTGGACTTCACTTAAAGGGTCTTGATGATTAGATCTTGAATTGAAGAAATTGGGACTTCACTTTAAGGGTCTTTAATGACTTAACCTTGAATAGAAGAAATTTGGGCTTTGTTTCAAGGTCTTGATGACTTGATCATGAATTGGAGAAATTTGAACTTCGCTTCAAGAGTCTTGATGATTTGTTCTTGAATTGAAGAAGTTAAAGACTTAAATTCAAGGGTTTTGATAACTTGACCTTGAATTGAAGAAATTTTAACTTTACTTCAAGGGTCTTTGATGATTTATTCTTGGATTGAAGAAATTTCGACCCAAAATTTTGGAGTTTCCTTGAGATCTTCGAATTTGATCTCAAAATTTAAGGAGTTTTGGAAATCTTGGTATTTTGTCCCAATTTAGGGATTCTTGATATTTGGTCATAACTTTGAGATTCTTGGCATTTAGTGTCAATTTAGGGATTTTTTACATTTGATCCCAATTTGAGGATTCTTAGAATTTGGTCCTAATTAGGGATTCTTAGATCTTAGATCTTGATCTCAATTTAAGGATTCTTGGATCTTCATGCTTTGATCTTTAGATTTTCCTTCTTGGATTTGTTTTCTTGGAATTCTCGAGACTTTATTCTTTAGATCTTCCATCTTAGACTTGTGGGAATTCTGAAGACTTTGATTCTTTGATTATTCTCTTCCCAATTTGCCTTCTTGATATTCAATCCCTAAGAATTATCTTCTTAATATTCATATCTTTATTCCTTAAGAATTCTCCAAGACTTCTTTCTTCCTAGAATTGTGAATTGTGACTTTGGAATAGCTTTGTATATATAATGCTAGCCTACTAGGAGAGAGAGTGTTTTAAAGGAAATCAATTTTTTTGATTTTATCTATAAATAACTATAGTTTAGTTAAAGATAAAAATTGATTACTCATGGGTGAGATCTAATTAGATGACTCATAAATCCTTGAAATTTGATTGGACAAAATTTGTATTTATCTCTAAATTATTTTAATTTAATTAAAAGATAAATTGTATGGCTCATAAATGAATTTTGATTAGCCACACTATAAGACTTTCAATTTTGATTGGTCAAGTGTTTTATCTTCAATTGTTAAGTGACATATTTAATTAATCATAAAATTATTAATTAATTAATTATATGATTAGATTAAATGATTCAATAATCCAGATTTGTCACTTAAAAATTTTTCAATTAATTAATTAAAGAATTTTAACTAAACACATGGCAATTTATAATTGGATAAAATTTTTCTCCTTTTATAATTGTATTGTCAAGTATTTGGTCACTAATATTAATTTTTGTTTTTATATGTTAGATTATTGTGACATCTAATGAACAGCTTGATGTATTTAGGCACACACTAGTCCGACGCGATTTCATCACTTTTTGGTGGCATTCGCACCACACTAGACGTTTGGATAACCAAAATCATTGCCATTCTTACTTTAGCATTGAACCTAGAATTTCAATTAGAGAGATAAGGCTTCGGTGGAGATTCCCCTTCCCACCACATCCCTTTTTCCTTTTTAGGGAAATTTTATGTATACCCCATTTATTATTCTATACACCCCACTTTCTAAATACACCAAATTCAAAACTTAATTTTTTATTTCTACTAAATACACCTCATCTCTCACTTTTTATTTTTCATTCATATTGTTTCACTCTTCTTCTCTTTTCATTTTCTAAAATTAAGCTCATCGAAAATGGATATCTTAGAAGTTATGAGAATTGTCAAAAATGGATATTCGATAAGCTTTAAGGATTCTTAGATATCTATTTTCAAGAAGCTGGATTTCACTTTTAATCACTGAAAACTTTAATTATACATTTACGAACCCATTTACTTGATCATATGTACGAATTAAGCTAAAATCGATGTTCTCAAGCATGTATGGCACAATCTTATTGTTTCTCCTGAGATTTTAGAAAACCAAGAACATCATTTTTTGGTTTTCTAATCTTGCATGAGCAAAAAGGTTTTTTTGGTTTTTTGGTCTCAAGACAAGAACACTTTTATACCAAGACATGCTTGAGAACTAACATTTTTCTTCCATTCATACATGTGATCAAGTAAAAATACGCATATCGATGACTTATGCGCATGCATGCATGCTAGTTTGAACTTGAACACCTTATAGAACATTGATCCTGATATTGTCATTAGCAAACTAATAAATCTAACAATAAGGATCTTTAATCTTTTGGTCACCACTATCTTTCACCCACCAGGAGCGGTAGCCTACAGATTAGAAGTCTCTATTGCTGGAATTAAGTCATACATAAGAAAAATCATTAGAAACATTTGGAGATCCTAGCACATCGAATTTATTTATTTTAGTATTATTTATTTTAAAATTAAATGTATTTATTTTATTTAAATTAAAATTAAATATTTATCAAGAGTTTATAATTAAATATTTATTTAAACAAAAAATTATGTATTTTCAAAAATAGATTTTCAAAAATAGAATATAACTCTTGGAATTTTATTTTTTAAAACATAATATAATTCTCAAAAATGAATTTCTAAGAGTTATATTGTGTTTTGGAAATTATGAAGGTGGTTTTGAGGTGTCTAAGTTATTAAAGATATTTTTATCATTTACTAATAATTAAAATAAGTATTTGCTATATGGATAACTTTGAAAGAAAATTTTAACGGTGTATAGAAAAAATTTTGTAATGTATTTAAAAGTCCTCTTCTTTTTATATCTTACGTTACTTTCTTTTTTTTTTCTTTTACCCCTAAGATTATAATGGGGGGACAAATATGTTCTTGAACTTATTTTTTTATTTTGATTTTTTATTAAAAAATTTCAAATAATTTTATTAATAAATTATATAATTAATTAATTAATTAATAACTAGAAATATTATTTATATATTATTATTATTTTTATTAATTTTTAATTATTTATTTGATGTATTACTAAATAAAAATAATTAAAAAATTTATATATAATTTTAATTTAATGCTATTGATAGTTATTTTTTTATTATACTTCACATTATTATTGTCATTATTGTTGTAGTCAAACGCATTTTAGCATTAATTTTAATCTTACAGTGAAATCTCACCCTAACACAATATTTAATTTTATCTTCACTATTATTTTTAATCTCATTAAAATTAATTTTATCATCATCTAAATGGAGTCTTAATAAAATCTGATACTGTACGTTGCTGAACAATGGACAAATTACCAAAGGCAGGGCACCTAATCTTGTTGAAAGGCATATTTAGTTACCTATGGTGATTGGTTTCTGAGTCAGTAATCTGAATTGTAGTAATTGAATCAATTGAGAAACAGATCCAGAAGAGGGATGGAGCTCCTTTTTTGTGGCGTCTGCTGGTATATAAATGTATAACTCTACCTTGACAGATATTACCTGTTTGGATTGCATATTTAAACATGACATTTTTCATATTAATATTAATTTTTAGGAGAAAGTTTAAATCTGAGTGGCAGGCAGAGTAGTAGAAGCAGCATACTTCAACTAGCTTGTGTCCGAACACGACCAGCTGTATATAATAATTGCTGTGCTTTAGTTTTAATAAGAGGTTGAATTATCTGATACAAAGATTTTTTAAATTTCATGAATCTCGAAAATTTTAGGTTTTTCAGGATGAATCTTGTCCGACCAACATGAACGTCGGTTCCGAAGGGGATGCAAAGCGTCTTTTGCGCATTTGACCAACTTCAAGGCACCCACTCTCTTTACCCTACACGCTACAGGTACATGTGGGAAGAACAGGGCGGCTATGATTTGATATCAGCACAGCAAATCATAAAAAAAGAAAATTCATATTATGAAATTAGTATTTATATTGTGGTCCGAATAAAAAAGAACATAAATCAAATTCTGAAAGTAGGATTATTGATGAAAGATTTTCACGCTAAAAACTATTATCTTTCGTCTATCAATGTAACATTTATTTTTATTTTCTAAATATTTTTATCTTTTTGGATAATTGAAAAATATTAAAAAATATATATTTGAGAAAGAAAAATGAAATATCACATTGTAGGTTAAGATGAGCATGAAAATCTCACATATTTTTCAAGCATGAAATAAATTTAGATATTGATTGGAAAACAAAATTAATTTTATAATTTACCAAAAAATCTACTCCACTCCCAACATGGCTTTGAATTATTGGATAAGATTTTTAAATGTTAATTTTTTTATCCAATTTGTGTACTGATTAAGAACGTAAATAAATTAAATTATTTGTGAATTATTTCAGTTCAACTCATAAAATTTGAATTTGGTTTATTTATTATGACATCAAATTCCAATAATTTAATGTTTAATTCAAAACTTTCACAGGGTAAATAAAATTTAATTAAATTTTTATTTTTTAATATATATAAATAAATGATAAAAGTATAATATTTAATATTTATAATTTTATTAAACCTAATTAAACTTATAAAATTGAATTCAAACAATTCAATTAAATTATAAATTGAAATCCAATATAAAAAAAAAAAATTCAATCAAACTTGATGAGTTTCAATCTTCAAATTTTCGAGTCAAGCTAAACTCACACTCGGAGCGCATATCCTGGGTTGAGTGGTAGCTCCAAATTGATCAATTAATGCTGCAATGAAATGAAACATCTGAATAATTGTTGCATCTTAGGAAAGCCAAGTTGACATGTATACATTCCATTGGCCCCATTTTGCAAATAAAAAACATTACACTACCAAAATCTAACATCCTTTCAAAAATGCTTCACACCAGAATTAGCTTTGGGATTTTAGTTGGGTCATGGCATTCGACAAAACATATATGGTATTATTACTCCACTGTACATTTCCAAAATTTACCGACGCTAAAATATGCAAAAGCAGCAAGACACAGTAAAACGAAGCGTAAAACCACAGTAAAAGTAAAGAAAAAGAAAGAAAAAACGTTTCTGACAGATTGGCAGGTCAATTCCCCACATGTGGACGCGGCCCCCTATGTACCCCACCCCCACTTCACGTCAAATCTAAATCAGCCCTTTCGGACGTCAGTATTACTTCCATTTGAATACGACACTCTGAGCACACGTGTACGGTTCTTGATCCGTTTGAGCTCCCCGACAATCTCGCTGGCGTCTGGTCTATCATCCTTATCATCAGCAACGCACCGGAACGCCAGTTCCGCCACCGCATCAACACCCTCCATCGCTTCTCCATCAAGGACCAAGACGGGGTCCACAACCTGATGCAGTAATCCCATCTGGATCTTCGAAACAACCAAATCAACCAATGCCATTTCCCTTTTTTCCCTCCTTTGATCCACCGCTTTTAACCCGGAAATCAACTCCAATAAAACGACGCCGAAGCTGTAAACGTCGCTTTTTTCTGTTAACCGAAACGACCGGTGATAGTCCGGATCTAAATACCCGGGAGTTCCCTGAGGCCCAGTCCAAACAAAATCCGACTTCGAAGACGAGTTTTCAGGGAAAGCCAAAAGCCTGGATAGCCCAAAATCCCCAACTTTAATCCTCATATCTTTTTCTACAAAAATATTTGATGACGTAATATCTCGATGAACGACCGGCGGCACAACGGAGAAATGCAAATACTCAATAGCTAAAGCCGTTTGCAAAGCGATTTCGAGTCTCACTTGCAACGTCAGTGAGGTATTTGGACGGCCGTGAAGGTGGTGAGCAAGGGTTCCATTAGGGACATAATCGTAAACCAAAAGTAACCCTCTGGGGTCGCTGCAATAGCCGTGAAGTTTAACGAGATTTGGGTGGTTAATTGAAGAAAGGATTAAGATTTCATTGCAGAAAAATTTGGTTGATAGAGCTTTGCCTGACTGGTTGTTTTTGTGGAGGTATTTAACTGCTACGATTCGATTGTCATAGAGTTGGCCTAAATAAACAGAACCGAAGCCGCCGTCGCCGATTTTGCGTTTTGGGTCGAATTTGTTGGTGGAAGATTCGAGTTCTTCGTAGGTGAAAACGGGAGGAAGGAGACTAGCTGAACGGTGACGGTGGAGGAACAAAGTTGTTGGGTCTTCTTCTATGGATTGAGATTTGAGTTTTTTGTATCGAAAAATAGCTATGGTTACTGAAATAATAAGGAAAATGCATGTTAATGTGAAGACAGCGGATAAGATTGCGATTCTATGAGGGTGATCTACGTGAATCCAAGGTGGGGAAATGGTGGTTTTCGATTGGAAGCAAAGAAATTGTTTGTTGGGGTCCGAGGAATTGAAGCCGCAAATACCGTTCTTCGATTCACAGTCTTTGCAGCTTGAGAAGTAAGAGTCTTGTGCTTCATCCCATTCTACTTGAAAACCCATTTTGAAGAAGAAATTTTCGAGGTAACCCAAGACATCAGCTTGGCAGCCTTGTTCTGGGAAAGACCGGGTGTATCCGCAGCCATGGAGGAGTTTGACTGGGTTTTTGATTAGCTCACATTCCCAAGGACATTGGCTACAGTTGGGAAAATTTGGAGGGGAACAGGAACGGAGGATGGATAGTCTGGAGCAAGAACCACCGGCGATCCGAAATGGGGAACCTGAGAGATCGATGGAGTGATTGCAAATGGGAAGGAAATGGAAAGAAGAGCAATTGGAATGGGGTTTTCTTGGGGGTTGGGGAGAGAGAGTGAGGGAAGTGGAGTTAGGTTCGTATTTCAGTAGAGAAAAAGAGACGTTGTTGATGAAGATGGTGGAGTAAGGAGTGGAGCATTTGATGTGGAAAGAGGGGTGGCCGCAACCCGGAGATAGAGAGAAAGGGAAAGGAGGTGTTGAAGTGAAGGGTGGGCATGGGGATCTAGAGAAGGTTTCTGGATGGGAGGAACATGATTGATGAGTTAGAGTGGCTAGGGTGACCAGGTGATGAAGAGAGACGAATAAGATGGTGATTAACAGAGAGGAGGTTGATGGTGGTGGAGGCATTAAGGAAGATAGTAGACTTTGCAAGTGATAGAGGTCATCAAGGGTCAAAGGTACAGATCTGAATCTGATTCTGTTTCGTGCTTTGAGGGTTCTATCTATGTTTTTTTGCCTTTGGAGTCGCGGAGTGAAAAGAGGGAGAAGGAGTCTTGACTCTTGAGTCTGGTTTCGTGGGGAGGAAGTTGACACGTGAACCGAGGTGTGAGGGAAGACCAAAATGAAAAAACTCAGTAGGAGTAGGCGCTGGATGCTGGTAGGGTGGTCCAAAGGCAACGAAAGGCCTTCAGAGTCATGAGGGGTCAGGAGACGAGGGAAAAATATTGGCCTTTTCCTTTTTCAAAGTGGTTTGCTTTTTTAATTTATGTTACTACAAATGCTTTGAATGGGGGTCTGATTTAATAGTGACTTTGAAATGGTCATTTGCATGATGTCGTTTACAAATTACAATTAACATATGCTACTAGTATATTAGGGATTGGGATATTTAGAAACCCCCATTTTACGTGTTATGATACCCCTTTGGAAATTTCATGTCTGATTAGTCGCGGGATACTGTATTTTAAAGGAAATAAATTATAAGCTCTGAGAAGCTAATAAAACAAAAAAAAAAACCTATCTAATATTAAATATTTGTTGATACAAGCAAAAGGCGAAACATTAAACAATTCCAAGATGTAGAGCCCCGAGGGCCCCAATTGTAGCTGGGTATTTTCAGTAACTGTGCGTGGTCTCATTCGCTATATAGTCTACAGAGCTCACCATTTAAGAATTACAACTCATCCTATTGGTGCCGCTTAAAGGTAGGTAATGGCCGGATCGGATCCAATTTAAATCGGATCACTGCGACTGGATCTTTACATTTTGCCTAAAAAATTTAAATCATCTTCAATTTTACATTCGAATTATCTTAAATTTTGATTATTTCAAATTTAAATTATTCAAATTCAACATTTAGATTTTTCAAGTTTGGATCATTTGGATTCAAACATATTTGATTTAAATTATTGGTTTTAATAGTAAAATTAAATTAAAATTTGAACGAATTGTTCACATCAAGTTAGATTTTATCAATTATAATTAAATTATTTAAAAATACATAATCATCAACCAATAACATATTACAAATTTTAATTTTTAATATCATAAAAATATTTTAGCTCTGATGTATGATTTAAAAAAAAAAAACTTTATTTATGATGTACAATTTAGAAATTGAATTTAACTATAATAATTAAAAAATATTCTTCAGCCTTTCTTACTAATAACTAAGAAGATAGTCATAACTAAAAAAATTTATCTCCAAATATTCATAAACATATAAATTTTTTTAAATAATTTAAATTTATTAAATATTAATATATTGCTTTTTTGTTATATTTATCATTCTTATTAAATATATATTTTTAAAATAAAATTACACTTAATTTAAGTTTCGATCGTTTGAGATTAATTTTTTAGATTTGAATATTTTAAGTTTGAATAGTTTCATATTAAAATTATTTTAAATTTGAATCATTACATGATCATATTAGTCAATTACGAATTGCTGATTTTTTTAGTTAAAATTCTCATTTAAATCAACCTCTTTAATAAATATTTGGACAACCTTAACCTTAGCTTTCATACAAACTTAATATCCCTTCGATGTTTTCACACCATGAAAATAGAATTTAATGCAACAGCCAGCCCAAAAGTTTTGAAGAGGTGGATAATTGGGTTAAATCCTAGAAGCATTTATTAATTTAGAGTTAAAGAAATGGAGAAAGAAACAATTGTTACAATTTTATTTTTGGAAAACCAAAAAAAAAAAAAAAAAAGAGAGAAAAAGATGAACGCTCTTAGATTAAGATTAGATTTTGTTATTTTAAGTTGTGTTGTGTTTAAAGCATTCATTAGCTTAGAGTTGGTAAAATTTTAAAATTTTGGTACCATTCCATTGATTTTTCGGCAACATATTAGATACCAAGGGAAATGTCATGATGAGACCTTTCTTGTGGTTCATGTGATATTGTGTTTGTATTTTTATAATTTCTTTATATTTTAAAAAATAAAATTTTGACAATTTTAAAATCTAAATATTGGATTGTCAGAACCCCACTTTACTATTGTCTTTTGAGGTATGGAATATGCACTCTTCAATGGTCTAAGAGAATCAAGACTTTAAATCAAGCCAAATAATCTTGGAAATCGAAAAATTTTAAGTAATCAATGATGATTTTAAAAATTTTGACCACCGAAACATGATATTTTAGCCACTTTTGTTCCTAAACTGAATTCCGATTTTAAAATATGACATGCAATCTTTATTTTGGTATAAATTAAACCTATGGTTGTGATCCACTTTGTAAGAAATAAGAGCTTAAGTGAGTTAAATGCTAATAAAATTTTGAAATTTCAAAATTTAGAAAAAATTTGTTTTAAATTATTTTAACATTTATTTTTACCCAATAATTTGATCTATTTTGTTATAAACTGTAAAAATTCTAAATAAATTAATTTTATTGAATTTTTTTTACAAAAATAAATATATTTTTATCAATTTCCCTTGAATCGACATATTCTTGAAAATTTAGTTTTCCAGGAGAAAAATTTATGAAACTAAATTTTAACAAATAATATGGTGTTTTTCACCAAATTAATTTATAATTCTCCGATTTTTTAATATTTCTATATTTTTATAAATTATAAAATTATAAAATTAATTTTACTTTCGAATAAAATGTTTCAAAATTTATTTCGTTTATTAAATGAGTATAACCGTCCTAAAATATCAGAACCTTTTTATCTCACTCCAGGACCTTAACCCAAACTCAAAAAATAAAATAAAATAATTTAAACCAAGTGTCACTTGATGACAGTGAGAAATGTGCTTTTGGATTTTTTTTTTTTTACAACAATTGCGTTGATTATTATTCTTTATTATTATAAATAGTTTCAACATTCAATGAAAAAAAATATTATATCAACAGTTCAATGCATTAGTTATAAAATGTTAAAACTTTAATTTTAATAATTACAATTAATTTTAAAATTTCTTACAAAAAAATTGAAAAAAGTATTTCTATTGATCAATGATTAATGATTGTATAAGTAGTATTTGAATTTATTGGTTCTCTTTGCAAAACAAGATATTTGATCGGTTTTTTATAAATATTTATATATTATTCCTCTTTAGATTTGATCATTCATATTTTCGTGTCGTATTTCGTATTGCATTTGATATGTATAATGACATGAATTATTAAAATATAAATACAATATGAATATGATATAACTAACATATAAATAATTAATTCATTTAAATATAACACGAATAACACAAACAACACGAATAACACAAATAATACAAACAATACTGATTTACATGAATAAACACAATATACACAAATAATAACACTATAAATAGAATTATAAATTAAAGTGTGCCCAAAAAACTAAAAGGAAGAATAAGTTGACAGTAAGGTACTTTGTTCCTAAAAACACATAAATAATGTTATAAAAGAACACTTAAGAACTAGCTCAATTTCTCAATTTTATCCTACTCAAATTTAGATGGATAATTATTATAATTTGAATCATTGATTTTTAAGTGAGAGAAAGCCATGCGAAAGCAAAAAGCACTTTGAAGCATGAGATGTGTGGAGTGTCACCTAGTTGGAATATCTTGTCGTGAACCTCTATTTGCATTTAAACTAATTAGGTTCACACATTCTAAAAATTTTTGCTTTCTAACTTGAGACTTTTTCACATATTTAATAATTTCCCTCACTTTTTTTTACAGACTCATCAATTTTCTTCAATCCATCTTAGACTATCAAATTCAGAATATGAGCACAACATCTTAGATGAAAAAATTGACAATTTCCTACAAGTGCTTTCCGTACATTCAATTGTAATTTCAACAAATCAACAAAAGTATCATTAGCAAAAGTATTATCCAATGTCACAGAGAACAATTTATTTTCTATTTCTCATTCAGTCATCAACACATATACTTTTTCACTTAATGCGACACCATTGTGTAGAGGTGGCATAAAAGAAAATTTCAAGATTCTTTTTTTGTAAATTTTAATCATGGTCAATAAAATGAGCAGTAACATATATATACCCTTCAGTATTGATAGATGTCCATAAATCAGAAGTCAAACAAATTCTATTAAGTGTTTCCTTCAACATTTGTTTCAGCTTACTTCTTTCTCTTTTATGCATTTTCATGATATCAGACTTCGCAATGTTCCTAGAGATTGAAGTCACATCATCATGTAAATGAGAAAACAAATCCCTAATGCCATTATACTCTTTAAATGAAAAGGGCAAATTATGCATAACTATTGCAGCAACTAATTTTTCATCGAAATTTTTTAGAATCATATTTGCAAGATCTCACTATTATATACCCATGGTCTTTAAAAAGTACCATTTGACTTGCATCATACGTGTCTCTCCTAGCACAATTATTCATATGACATTTAGATTACCATTCCTATACCTAGAATCACAGTTCTTAACTTCTCCATAATACTTACACTTTATTGTCTTAATACCATTGACTGCCTTTTCAAGTAATAATTCAAAAACTTTCCAAACATCTGAAGTTAGTTTCTTATTACTTTTGCGCTTCCCTTTACTCTTTCCTGTCTCAACATGATCTTATTCTGGTATCTCCATACAATCATCTTATACCAAATTTACAGTAAGAAAATTTGATTGAAATACAGTGTTAATATCATCAAATTTCGTCTATAAATTAAAAAAGTATTAAAACCATACATTAGAAATGTATGAGTAAAAAACATATATATTAAAAACATATATTAAAAATGTATGAGTTAAAAACATATATATTAAAATAAATGCATATTGGGCAAGGATTTGCAATTACAAGAACAATCAAGTATTAAAAAAAAAAAGAAAATGAAGAGCAACTAGATTGCAGTTTACAACTTTTACCTCAATGTTTTAGTAGGAAATAGTGCGATGAAAATTGGAAAGGACACAAAGGCTCTGTCGATCGAAGAATCGACTGTGATTTGTGGGCAAAAGGCGAATGGTGGCTGCCTAAGGAAAGAGGTAAGAGCACGTGAAAGATGATGATGGTTGCTTAGCTTGATGGCTAGAAAAGGAAAGAATTGATTCAGCTAGATTCTAGTAGTTTGAAAAAAAAGAGTGAAAACATGAATGTGAAATGGGGAAAAAGGATTTTTAGTGTTAAGTGGTTAAACTTCCACACGTGTGGCTTTAATGAAAGCGTGTTAATTGTTAATAAAAGCATATGGTTAATGGTTACTTAACTGGTAATAAAAGTATAAAACTAAAAACAGAATGCCAAAATAGCAAATTAATGCTTGCCTTGAGAGTATAAAACTAAATTTAATTTCTATTTTGCTTAATTAATTTTTTAGTAATTTTATACTAAAGATAATAAAAGTCAACCTTGAAAGTTTAAATGTTAGCCTTGAAAGTTTAAAAATCAATTAGCCACTTGCTTTGAAATTTTAAAATCAATCTTGAAAGTTGAAGCAGGTTAGGTGGTTGGGTATGAAAGCAATAAATTTTAATAAA